AAAATTCATTCTATGATATATTTAGAAAATTATCCCTTTTTCAATTTAATGATCATATATAATGTTTGAAAAATGATTCCTTTTTAAAGAAATAATTTTACTTTCTCACGTTTTAAAAATCCGAATTTCTTTTTATATATAGAATCTCTCATTTGAAGTAATTAAATGACTTCTCGACAATTTGAAAAAGCTGTATTCCCACATGTTTTGCCCTATGAATAAAAACGAACAATAAGAATCATGATTCTGACTCAGTACCTAATTGACGAACAAAAGATAGAGAGAGAGAAAAAAAAAACTCCAGCCGAACCAATTGACCCGAAAACGAAGGTAGAACAATAATGATTCCTATTTTAGAACCCTCACATTTTTATAAGGATTAATCATTTTGGAAAAATAGTTTAAAAATTAAAAAAATATTGGGGAATATGACCTGGTTTTTTTTATGCGGCATTATCTGAAAACTATTTTTTAGTAAAAATCTAACTCAAAAATAACACAGAAAATTAAAAGGCATTAAAATAAGTTGCAACGCTTATTATTTTAATCCAATTTTGCTTATTTTAATACCAAAATGGATTAAAATAAGAAGCGTTGCAGCTTATTTTAATGCCTTTTAATTTTCTGTGAAATAATCTAATGGTGTATTGAAGTTAGCTAATTATTTAAAAAAAAAAATGTTATAAACGAAAAATAAAACGCGACATTCCTCTAAAATTAAAATAGATTTTAAAATCATTTATGTCATTTTATTTAGAGATTTCAAAAATAAAAACCAGTTTCTGTTCTTTTTTTTTTTAAAAGAAATTTTAATTCTTTTATTTGCGTGAGGAATGAAAAAAAGAAATTCAATTACGATTCTTGTGGATTTTAATGGAGGTTGAAAACAACATTCAATGAATCTTTTCTGAAAGGAGACAAAATGCCTTGGGGAGGTTCTCTTGCATTGAAATAAATTTTACTCCTCGAATCAAGTGAGTAGGTACAGCGTGTAACGCGAGACACAAAGATAGGGTGTCAGTTCACTATCAGAGGAAGAGACCTGTTGAGTCTCTTCGTCTTGGACTCGTTTTATCTTCTTCCTTTGCGCTCGCGAAAACGTTTCCCGCGAGACAGAGAAAGAGAGAGAAAGAGAGAGAGAGAGAGAAGGAATTCACTCTCCGGAGGTTGAGTCTGCAAAACGGCGCAAGATCGTGAAACGTTTTATTAAACTTTTATGCAACAGTTTACAAAGCAGCCTGCTACGCACGTGCTGCATTTTTTCATTTTTTTTTTGTCTAATTTTTCCCGAATTAAATCACAGAAAAAACGCTGGATAAATTTTGTTGCGGATAATTTTAACCAATATGCTAATTTACATAGCCCCCAAACTAGGATAAAATTTGTTGCAGTTAATTTTTTATACCGATTTTGGGGTAAAAATTCTTTTTTTTGAAGAATTGAAATTTTTTTTTTGAATCGCATATATGAAGCTTCTTTATACAGACATAAAAGCATGGCTCCCCCTTAATGCTTCTAATCCCCCTCTAAATTCTCGATTGTAGCAGTTTCAAATTAAACCCGTCCGGTTTTGAACTTTATACAAACAGGACAAAGAAAAGAATATTTTATATAAAAAGCGCGTATAGGGAGGCGTAAATCTTCTAAAGCACGTTTTCGTTCTACAAATTAAAACATTACTTCCCCTTCTTTTCTTTTTCTGAAAAAAAGGGGATAAAAAAAAACGATATAAAGGGTAGATAAAAAGAATTGAAAAAAAAACTAATAGAATTTTAAATATGAAATTTATTTTTATAGTGAAAATTAAAAAATTTAAATAATAAGTACATTATGTTAAAAAAGTGCGTCTAATCTCTAAATGATCTGAAAATAAGAATTGAGAAAAATGAGCGAGAGCTTGCAGATCATGATTTTATTTTGAGTTCTCACAACGGGTGGCAGAAGCAAAGCAATAGGCAATCCGGACAAGATCTTTTACCTTCCTTTTTTTTTTTAAAGTGGGGGAATATCATTTTGAAGAAACGTTCGGAGAAAAAAATCACGCATCGCTATCAGTTAATGAATCTTTCGCGAAGAGCTGTGTGAAGAGAAGGAGGAGGAGGCTCCGACCTGACAATGGACGGTATGGGGGCATCCGACGAAATTCAAAAAATAAAAAATGATTTCAGAAGGCTATATATGCTTCTCTCGTGAAGCTGTCTCATCCAACTGTCCATCTCTCTCTTTCTTCTTTTCATATTGCTCCTACTCCTGGACCTTTATCCAAAGTGAAATGATTAATGAGTCCATGACGGTTTTTCTTCGCGAGAAAAAGTGTATATTTAACCCTTTCGAAACAAAGCCAAGAATTATTTTATTAATGCGAAGAAAAAAGAATCTAGAAATTAAGTTCTGATAATTAAAATCTAATTTTAAGGAATTTTAAATATACATTTCATTTTGACGATGATTAATTTTTCTTGTTGGGAATTTACTGAATCGACAAAACTTATTAACATATGAAAAGGAGAAATATGTCAGTCAAAAGAGAGAGAGAGAGAGATGCTTCGTATTTACATTTTCAAAGTAAGAGAATAAGATTATGGACCAAGAAGGAAAAGGAAACCAAAGAGAATATGATTGTGAACACCACTCATCATCATAGTTGTCTACTCTAATGTTTTAAAGACAAAAGAAATAAAAATGGTTTGGTTTTCGCAAGTCTGTTTTTATTTTTCCCTCTTGCACGATTCGTATATATATATATATATATATATACAAAGCATATATGCGGCTAATCCAATTTAACGCCATCAGTTTTCTCAAATTGGAATAAGAGTCCATTTATATAAGCGGAGGAAGCTGATAACACAGGCAAAAGTTAGACCTGTTTCTGATATAGGTTTTTCATGCCGAACACGAATCCGTAGACGAAAATTTGCTCTAGTTTTTGAGAAAAACGAGTTTAAAATGTTCAAAAATCGCGTTTTTGGGCTAACTTTGAGTACACTGTTAGAAATTTCTGTCGGAATTTTTTGTAAATAGCAACTGAAGTTTTATGCTGTTACGTGTTACGAAAATTTTGTTACCATTTCGGAATTTTCCGAAACAGGTATCAACATAAAAATTCAGTTGCGTGTATGAAAATTTTGTTACAGTTTCGTAATTTTCTTCAACATGTAACTGCATAAAACATCGGTAATACGTTTCTTAAAATTTTGTTACAGTTTGTTCAATGATTGTTGCTGAATAAAATTTTAGTATCACGTAACTAAAAATTCATTACTGGTAATAATATTTTCAGTGATGCTTTAGTTACACATTTATATAATTCAAATTAAAGTGCGTACTAGTAAAAATCCTAAAGCTGTAACATAAAGTTTTGAGAAAATATTAAATTAATCCAATAAATCTTATTTTGGGTATTAAATTAAAATTTTTTTATTTTCGGTAGCTTGTTGATTCGGTAAAAATGCATTCGGTACAGTGGTATTCGGTAAAATGGTCATTCGGTAAAATGGTCAATCGGTAAAATTTTTATTCGGTAAAATGGATTCGGTAAAATGGTTGGGAACCATATAATTCCAAGAATAGATTTTTAACACTTTTCTTTACTATTTTTTATTAATTTTAATATTTTTAACTATTTTACACTACTCACTCAAACTTCACAACTATATTTTTCACAGCGCATATTCGGTTATGGCATTCTTTTGGCGTTTCCAAGCTGTGCGTAAATAGCTATGCGCATCCAAATTTTGTTGAAGTAACTTGAATTTTTGTTACAGTTTCGTAATTTTCAGGAAATCTCTCTCTTTTCAAAATTGTTTCGAAAATTTCAGTTACAATGTCTTAAATTTTCTGTTACAGTTACTTGTTTTTTTACGCAACTTAGAAATCAGTTACTTATTTAGAATTTTCAGTAACATTTTGTATTTTTAAGTAAAGTTTGGCAAATTTTCGTTAAAAGTAACTGACTTTAGCTTTCAGTAACAATATTTTGAAAATTATGATACTTTTGTATTCAGAACATTTCTAACAGTGTACCTTTAACATTGAAACAAAAGGTCGTAGAACCTTCCACTTGGGCTTAATTTGAAGCTTAATGTTTTAACTATATTATCCCCAAAAATGACCTATCTTGCACCATAACCTCAAAGTCATTTGTTATCCATTTTTGATTCCCAAATATTAATTTTGTAAAAGTTTGAGCGCGTACATCTAGTCCTTGAGGTGCAACAATGTAATTTTTATGAACTACAGTCAAGGGATAAATTGAATTGAAGCTCAACAAGAAGGTTGACCTTTGATTTTATTGACTAGAATTATTTTAAATATTACCAAATAAGTTCTGTAGTTAAATACTATAGTTACCAACAATTTTGAGGTTATTAGTGAAATAATATAATTCTTAGGGCTTGTACTCTAAAGTTCAAACTTTATTTTAAGTTTCAAATAAAAGGTTCTATGATCCTTTTTTCTTTGCTAGAGGTACGCGCTCAAAATTTTACAAAATTAATATTTGCGAATCAAAAATGGATAACAAATGACTTTGAGGTTATGGTGCAACATAGGTCATTTTTGGGGATAATAGTTGAAACATTAAGCCTCAATTTAAGGTTCTACGACCTTTTATTTCAGTGGCTAGAGGTACTCAAAGTTAGCCAAAAACGCGATTTAACATTTAAAACCCGTTTTTCTCAAAAACTAGAGCTGATAGGAACTTTTCGTTTACGGATTTGTGTTGAAAAAACAAAACAAAATTGTTTCATAAATTTTCAAATTCGAATACGAACAATTTTTTTTTTTTGAAAATTATCGAATTATAAACACTGTAAAAAGAAAGTACTAAAACAGTACCGATTTTAGGTATCACAAATAGAACCAAATGACAATTTCGTACCTGATGTTGGTATTAAATTAATATACCTTTCTTTTTACTGTGAAGTGATATCTAATTATAATCCGTGACAGAGCGATGAATTTTTGAAAAAAAAAAATAGAGAAGAATCTCGACTTACCTTGAGGCTGCTGACCGCTGGGTGGATTTAGAAATGTGGGTGGAAGCTGCCTGCTAACCGACCTGGCAAGTTCACCTCCCGCCAGGCCATAGATCGCAAGAAGTTCCTGCATCGTTGATTCTGCATACTCTCTCATACCCTCAAATGGCCTCTTCTCATCCATTCCCCTTTCATTTTCAACTTCCTGTCCTTGCTCGTCCTCAAATTGTCCATCGTCTAAGCGATTTGAATCACTTCCACTTTTCTCCGACGATTCCGATGTTGGACTTTGAATCTTCAAAACAAAATTTAAATTTTCATCACATTTCACCAGGTAAATTAATTTTATTGAATTTCAAAATGAGGGCACTCATTTTGATTTTTTTATTTCATAAAATCAGAAAATCATATATATATAGTTAAAAATTAATTTTCCAAGTGTATTATTATAATAACATATGGTATATTTATCTGAGAATTTTAAAAGTAAAGTAAGTAATCTTGAAAATTTCCTCTCTCTCTCTATATATATATATAATAACAAGTTATACAATATGGGGTATTTGAAAATTTAAATCAATTTAATTTTGTAGTAAATAAATTACTAACCTCGGCTCCAAGGGAATAGAACTTCTGCGACCTAAGTTGTTCGATAATAAATTTATGCCTATAAGAGTCCCCACTATCGTCGTCCCCTTCTGATGAGGGTGGCCTAGTCGCAACTGACAAATCCATAGGACTTGCTTCATTATTGTTTAGCCTTTGTTTCGATCTTTCTTCAGTTGGCAATAATAATGTCTTCCTTTCATATTCAAGTATTTCATTTGAGCTTGCCTCTTCAACAGCCTCAGGATCTTCATCATCGTGTTCCGATTCATCTGATACCTCAGCCATTCGGCTGCTGATTGGCTTAAAATTTTTTCTTTTATTACGCGTTGGCTTTTGTATATTTGCCAATTGTAATTGTGCCTGTGCATCAAATTGTGAATCACTATCCTGATCCGTGGCATCCCGACGGGTAGTCGCGTAGTTGTAAACCGACTCGGAAAGCATCTCAGCTAAGAAACATGATTACGAAATTTCTTTTCTTTATTTTACTTTTCTTTTTGAAATAATTTTTTTAAATAATTTTTTAAAATAATTTTTTGAAATAATTTTTTGAAATTTTGTCTCTTTGAAGCAAAATATAATTTAAAAATAATTTAACATAATTTTTTTTAAGTATCTTTTTGAAAAATATTATTACAAATATAAAATAATTAGATAAACAATATATTTAAACTTACTGGGGCCATACGGACTGGTTACCGCTGACATCTCGAGTCTTTTGAATGATCTGCCCGCAGTCAGTGCATTCTGAAAACCAAAAATATCGACGTTATGCTACATCGAGCAGAAATGAAAACAAGAATACAAAACAAATGATCAAAGAGAGACTTTCCAAAATTACATTCATGCTGTTCTGACTAATAAAATCCATTTGGAACATATTATAAATTATTAAAGAAATTGATATTTTTTTTAAATATTACTATTTTTTTTTAAATATTTATTTTACATTATTATTTTCGAAATGAAAAAATATAGTATAATTGCAAAATTAAATTTCCAGCTTTTTTATTATATATATTACTTTCTCCTTTTTAGGTATATATATATATATATTTATTCTTCTTGATAAAATATGTTTCAACCTACATATGTCTGTCATTTTGTGATGTATATATATATTCTAGAAAACACTTTAGGTCAGTGTCCCAGATACATTTCAAATTTATTATATATATATGTTATTGTATCGACATTTTGATAAAAGGGAAATATCCTTCATGATATTGAAAAAACAGAAATTTTTTTCGAATTTCGTAACATTTATTTTTTTTTTTAATTAATTTTATGCAAATGGGTTAGATCTACTTTCAATTCTTTATAACAGTTATTAAATTCAATCTAAAAATAATATATACAACAAAATGCGTGACATTTGCTCGAGACTCAATTTTCTAATTAATATTCATTAATTTCCATTATAGAAAATAAAATTCGAATTTCAAGATAATAAAAGTTTTGGAAAAAAAAAAATTCGCCAATAACAAATACTGGTAAATATTTTTTTTTTATTAAAAAATTAAAAATTCATTTCATGTTCAATTTTTTTTTTTTGTAATTGCAATAAAGCAATGGATTAATAATAATTAAGGCCAATTAGATACTGCCAATAGTTGATAAGACATGGATATATGTTTAACAACGCGGAAAACTAAACTACAGCATTATATATATATATATATATATATATACATTTCGATAATATAAACAGGCTCCCTTCGAATAACTAAAAGAGAGAATGAGTTAACGACTCCGCGAGCTAGATCTCGCATAAATAATTATGCGCTCAGATGAGAGAACATATATATATATATATATATATACGAAACAGAAACATATAACATGGATTGGAAAAAGAAATTCCGCATGTTGCATCTCCCCCCTCACCCCCTCCATCTTTAGAAATGTGTTCTTATAAACGCAAGACGGAATCTTTAAACGACAAAAAAATATAGTTAACCACCTGCGAAATGAATTTACAGAGTCAAAGAAAGATGTAAACAAATGAGCTCATAAAAACTACAAGGGAATGATGTAAAAAAAGTATTCTAAATGTGCGCTTTGAGATGTGAGAATTATTTCATCTTGATAGTTCAATTCTTCATTTACATATATATATATATATATATATATATATTATTACGTCGGTGATTAAAATAAATAAAAAAAGAAATTTTTTTTACAAAAGTAAAAATTATTTGTTAAAATTTTTGATTTTAAAGAATTTTATTAGAAATATAATTATTTTTTAGATGAATTTTTTCAGTTTTTGAATTAAAACTTCATGGAATTTCTTTTTTTTTAAAACCATTTTCTTTATTTACATTTTATAATTTCTATATAGGTATCGAATTAGATACCAAATGAGGTATTAAATTTTTATTTGTCAGAATTTTAGTTTTAAACAAATTTTTAATTTACAGAATTTTTAGATATATACTGAAAATTTATAATCTTGGCAGAATATTTTTATTCAATAGAATTTTAAATGATTCGAATTTTTGTATTTTCAATTTATTGAATCTTCAATTGAGCCAAATTGTCTCAATTGTAAAATAAAAATTCCGGTAGCTAACAATTATAAATATGTAAAAATTCGGTTACAAAATTTGTTTAAAAAGAAATTCTTTTACTCTAAATCTGAATTAGTAAAAATGTTTACTAATTTGAATTAGTGACTCACTTTTTGCTTCTGAATTAGTAACTTTTACTAATTATTAGTAACTTTTACTAATTATTAGTAACTTTTACTAATTATTAGTAACTTTTACGAATTATTAGTAACTTTTACTAATTATTAGTAACTTTTACTAACAATTAGTAAAATTTAACTAATTCTAAAGCAAAAAGTGAGTCACTAATTTCAATTAGTAAACATTTTTACTAATTCAGATTTAGAGAGTATGTTAATTTGAAAATTAAAAATTCATCTAATAAATAGGGTAAGTGTACCAATTACGGCGCATTCTTAAAAAATATAACTATTATTATTACTATTATATTTAATGTACTCTCTAAATTTGAATTAGTAAACATTTTTACTAATTCAGATTTAGAGAGAAAAATGTTTACTAATTGAAATTAGTGACTCACTTTTTGCTTTTAGAATTAGTTAAATTTGACTAATTATTAGTAAAAGTTACTAAAAATTAGTAAAATTTTACTAATTTAGAAGCAAAATGTCACTAATTCAAATTAGTAAACATTTTTACTAATTCAGATTTAGAGAGTAACTGCGTTGCGAAATAATTAAAAAAAATTATTTTAATCTTTTTTTGATACAATTACAATTTTTATTACAATTGAAATATTTTTCAAAAATTTCCATTAGCTTCAATAACGGCGGGCAAAGTATAACTTCAAAATACACGTAATTTTGGTCACGGTAATTGATATACACCAAAACTACAAACGCGTCGTACTCTCTAAATCTGAATTAGTAAAAATGTTTACTAATTTAAATTAGTTTTTTGCTTTAGAATTAGTTAAATTTTACTAATTGTTAGTTAAATTTACTAATTTAAATTAGTTTTTTGCTTTAGAATTAGTTAAATTTTACTAATTGTTAGTAAAAGTTACTAATAATTAGTAAAATTTAACTAATTCTAAAGCAAAAAACTAATTTAAATTAGTAAACATTTCTACTCATTCAGATTTAGAGATTTACTCTCTAAATCTGAATCAGTCATATTTTACTGATTAGCAGTAGAAATCTACTAATTGCGCCATAGCGAGAATTGAGCAACTGACAATTATGTAGTAGAAATTTACTGATTCAATTAGTAAAATATCAATTACTGATTGAATCAGTAATATAAATATATGGCGGCGGCCACAAAATCTACTGATTTAATAGTTATCCTTAAAGGTTATGTTTTATACAAATTACTGATTTACATAAGTTATTTTCTATTGCTTCCATATTGACTAATTATATTAGTAAATTTCAAAAAATAACTGAAAGTTTAGTTAAAATGAAAAGTACTTAGTAAAATTTCTACTGATTCAGATTTAGAGAGTAGAGTACAATGAAAATGATCGAATAATCGAACGGCGCAGAAATATTTCGGCGCCAATTTTGAAAATTGACCAATTAGAAACTGTTCATTTTAAAATTGGCGCCAAAATATTTCTTCCGTTTGATTATTCGATTATTTTAAATGTAGATTCTGTCTAAATCTGAAATATAGTGAAAAGTAAGCTACAAATTGAAATTAGTAAGAATTTTCACTAATCTTTATAGTCCATATACTTTTTACTAAAAATTTAGTAAACAAATTTAATACTACTAAATCAAGTATATTACTATAATAATAATAATAATAATAATATATTATAATATATTACTATATTATACTTAAAAATTAGTTTTAAAATTTCTATTAAATTACACCGTAATTAGTATACATTTACCCTAATTTTTGTAATAGAATTCTTTTAAAATGAAAATTCTAACTAATATAATTTTATTCTTATATTTTTCTTTTTTATGGGACAATCATGCGCCTTATTTTCATCGCATTAGAAGCAATTTGTCCAGAAATCAGTAAGAAAATTTTTTCAAAAAACAAAAACTATTTTTCATTTAGAAAATTTTTTACCAAAAATTTTGCATTATATTCTATCTATAAAAAATTTCACTGTAAAAAGAAAGTACTAAAATAGTACCGATTTTAGGTATCAAAATAGAACCAAATGACAATTTAGTACCTACAGTTGGTATTAAATTAATACCTTTCGTTTTACAGTGTTATAATTGATTTGTTTGTTTTTTTTTTAATTAATATAAGATATGAGAAAATTAAATAAATTTTGTTTTTGTTCAAAATTACAATTTTCAAGTCGCGATTTCTTGAGTCGCAGAATAAAAGTATCGAAATTTTTTTTTTGTAATTGTCAAATATATTTTTTTTTTTTCTCTCCGCAGAAACATTTTATTTTTATGTGATGTGGTGTTTATCGTTGATAACGTCGAAACTTGGAATTTAGCATAGCTACAATAATTGTATATTTGCAAAATCGCTTTCAACGATCTAAGATGTAGAAAAAGAAAAGAAGAAAGAAAAAAAAAAAAGAAAAAAAAAAAGTGTCAGGCTATGCTTTTCCCATGAATACATTTATAGAGTCTATAGTGATGTTTGAAATTCGCTGAGTTTAATGCACGAGTACTGTTGAGTATTATAAGATCAGTGGGAGAGATCCTGCGCGTACGTGTCCGTGTACGAGGGTGATAATGCACTTCAGGTCCGCCCCACACAGTTGTGGTGGGGTAAAACGGGGCGGCCCGCACGCTATAGGTACTGTAACAGATGTTAATTATCCCTTCTGTATAGCCGACAAAAAGAGTCGCGCCTCGCGATGAGAAGAGAACGAACACATATATATATATATATATATATATATATATATATATATATAAGAGAGTTGAATGGGTATTTCCCCGTTTCATGCTTCGCGTTTTCTCGGCTCAATTCGGTTTCTTTTCAATCACGTGTTTTTTCTTCAATTTGCATTTAAAATAAAAAATCATTCCCTTAATTAAATGAATTAAAATTAAAAATTTCTTTGTCAAAGTAAAAATATTCCATAATATAAAAATAGTGAAAAAATTTTTAAAATTTTAAAAGCCTCTTCAAACGAAGAGATGTAGAAAATTTTATTTTTTATTATTGGCGAATAACTCAAAAAAAAAAAAACCATTATTCAACGGTGTAGATAATTACAACCCGTAAGGGGGAAAAAAAAAA